AAATCATTTGATGAAAAAAACTCAAGAAATATAGTTTTGCTTGATGAAACAAGCAGTTACTCTCTCGAATGTTTCATTCCATTGTATTGAAACTTGTCTAGATTCTCTCCCGAACTTGCAATGTTATTTCTAGTTTAGGATTAAAGATTAGGTCACTTGTATGAAATCTAGTCATACATCAACCTAATATGAACGATATGAAATAGTCGGAATGTTAAGAAATAATCAATTTAAATGCAACTCTCCGTAATGGTGCTAAAATTTGGTGGCGTGTTGTACAACCAATAAATTTGGTTTGTTTTCTTTTTCTTTACTTGTCTCAATCACTCGGGTTGTAATTAGGGAAAGCAAGGGTCGATCCCATAGAGAATCGGTTCAATCAACATTCTTTAGTTTCTAATTATCCCAAGGTACGGGGAAAGGTAAAAGGGAGGTTTTGTGTGTTGGGAGTATTAAACGTAGTTAAAGCAAGTAAAGAGATAACAATAATAATGAAAGTCTTGGTTAAAGTTGGCTTCCACTTTTAGTTCACTCATTGATCATCGATTTATATATTAATCCATTCTTATTGTGAATATTCACCATAAGATAACAACATGTATGTTATCTCCAATATTTCCTTAGTGATTTGTTAATCAAATGGATGTTATTTGATTAATCTTTGACTATTAAACAACCTAATAGATGCTATCTAAATTTAATCCAATAATAGCATTAAATGATTGAAAGATAGATGAAGTTAAACAACCCTCCTAGATGTTAGAAGAATTTAATCTAGTTTTATTTTTTCTAATGGATTAAATGAAAACCAATTTATAATCATTAACCCCTGATTACTACCACAAGCAAGTTTAGATAAGTAAATACGGACTTAAATACTTAGCTAGCAATGGATTATAATGATTAATGAACTAGTATATACTCTAATAAATCAATCATACAACAATATATATATATATATAACAAAGAAAAACATAAAATACTTAAAAGAATAGGATTAGAGATAAAATCCGTTTAGATCTTACAATAATTTTACCAAAGACTTGAACTTTCCTTCAACTATAAAAGATTTTTAATGATATATGGTTTGCTTATAAGAGAATTTCTATCTATGGTGGCTAGAAAAATGGAGGAATCCCTATAATTCATAAAGTAAAATTCTAAGTTCTCTATTTATAGCAAAAGGTAGGGTTACAATACATATATAGTAGCCCATATGGTCACACGACTTGTTTATTGTGGCATATGGCTTACTCTTTTATTTCACATGTTTGGAGCCTCGAAGAGCTTATGGAATATGGCTTGCTGGACTTAGGAACACTTCATCTCGTGTTTTTTAGTTTCTTCTCATGTGTCATTTCTTTCTCTTTGGAGGACATCTCAACATTGACATATATAGGTCCATCACTCTTTTTGCTTAAGCCTTGTTGATTACTATTGCATGTGTTTCTTCTTTGCTAAACATCCATATGATTCCCTTTTTTTCACATAAGTAATAACTTTTTCCTCTTAAAAGTCACATGATTGTGTGTCTTCTTTGGTTCCTTTATACCTTTGGCTTCTTATACACTTTGGTTTGGGTTTATTCACTCCAATTTGTGATTTTTCCTGTAAAAACCTAAAATCATAACCTTGTTCTTAATTACCTTAATATAATACAATAAGCATTAATAAATTTAATATAAAAGTGCATAAAAGTTGTGTAAATTGTACACCTATAAATTACCTTCCGTCCATGTCCTATACCATGCGTCACTCGTTAATAACTCCTCTCCAACCAAATTTACCACCACCTCTACCATTAGTATTTCCACCATCTTCAAGTATACTAACTCAACCATCATCAAAACTATCATCTTCACCACTAACACTAGCTCCTCTCACACTAGCTTTTCCACCTCTTGTATCACCATCTCTACCATTAGCATTTGCATTATCTTCAAGTATACCAATTCCATCATCATTTGAGTTGGCACCTACACCATTCCCATCTCCCACCACACCACCTCTACCAATTTGAATAGGTAAGTAACAAACAAATAAATAAATTACATTCTACTAAGAGAAACACATAAATAAATATAAATCAATATTTAATTCATTCCTTGTAATTGTTTAGGAGTATCCATCTAACAATTCCTTGAGATATGGCCGGACTATCTACATATATTGCATTTGACGATGCTAGAGGCTTTTTCTTCTTATTCTCTTCTCGCTATTCTTAATTGGTCTACCAACATTTTTTTTTCATTAAGTGGCAACACAATCAATTCTCTTTCCCGAGTTTCTAGTTTTACTTCATACAATAGGTGTACCACTTCATCATAAGTCTTTAGAAAAGTGGAAATAATATAGTAACAATCATAATCATCTTCTAACTCACCTCATTTGTCGGATAAATAACTCCGTTACATGTCTATAGAGGATCCTAATTATACTCCATTCACCATAATAGCACTTTTAGGTCTCTTAGTTAATATTCATTTACACTAGTTGGTTTCATTATTAGATTTCTTCTTGTCAAGAACCATTCTCATAGGTAGATTAGTCTTAGTCTCTTAGATTTTCCTTTCACAAACTTGTCACGTAATCTTGACATATCTCCACCATAATCTTTTCTACTATAGTTAGTATAGGCATATGCTTTTAAATTTTCCAACCTAGTGATTAAAAATTCTTCCAAATTATTGGTCACATAATCATTCTTAACATCCTTATTAAATAAATATCTTGATTATCTATGAGCATACATTGTTTCCAACAACTTGATAACAATATAATTGATTACCTAATATTCTTCATATAATCTTTATACTAAATTATAGAATTTGCCTTACTAGCTCTTCAACAACTTCATTTCAAAACTAATATTTTTTTCTCTCGAAGTTGGCGTATAATTGCCAAACACAATTCCTATGAGTTGTTTGGAGAAAAATCTTTACAATATTGTTTGACAAACTTTGCAAGAAATAATTTAACAAGTTAGCACAATGTTACACTTTACAAAACTAAGTAAATTAGAAATCATAAAGTTTATATAGTTTTTAATAATATATTTTACGTATCGGACATAATATACACAACCTTATCTTGAATTCTTAACTTTATATAGTCATATAAAACTCGATAGAAATCTTTCTCAATGGTCATTATTCTCTACTTTAAAAACAACATAAGCTAGTAGAAATAGGCCATTATATGCATCCAACGATATAACTGCAAGTAGAACTCCTCTAAATGGACCTTTTAAAAGACAACCATTTAGTCTAATAAATCTTATATAGTCGGTTAAGAATCAATTTTTCATTTCCTTCAAGAAAATAAAAATCCTATTAAACTTCTTAAGTGATGCAACTTCAAGGTTGAACTCGGGCTCGTAGCCCAAATACATAATAGAACCAAGGTTTTTCTTATTCAATAAATCAACAAACCTTTCCATTATTTTCATGAATCCTTATCAAATCCTTTAACAACTTATCTAGCTTTATTTCCTATCCTCAATAACTGCGTTAGCCTAGGGTTAAGCCTATAAATTGAATTTAATATTGTTTTTAGTACCTCATTTGAGATTCCGAGATCCACATTAATGAAGGGAGGCAATCTCATGGCAATCCATGTTGAGTTAGTAGTCTTATTTCTTGATGGTCTTATGCATTTGTATTTTCTTTTATGTATTTTTATTATCAAAGTCTTTCATCACATAATAAATATGCATAAATTCTTCAATTGCAAAAAATACCCTTACATTTGCAATAATTTTATACTTTCTATTCTTTTTCCTTTTCAATTCATATCATTCTTTAACCTCATACAATTTCAAGTGTATCCCTAAAAGCATAGACACTTTTAAAAAATCATATAAGTTGAATCTCTTAGTTCTCATTTTTCTTAATTGGATCAATAATCCTCATTTTTTTTCCTTTTCTATCTCCTTCATGGAAAATATCACTTTCATATACATCATACTCAACAAAGTCATCCTCACCTAACTATCACTCCTTCTTACTTTCATTCTTCAATAATCTTAGTTTCAATTTCTTTTTTGGTACTCGTTATGCATGCTTAGGATCTATTCATCTTTTTGCTTTTTAAAAAACTCATACCCATCCTCATTTGATGGTAAGTAGTCATGATTAAGATTGTCACTTCCACTATTTTCATGCCCATCTAACTCATCATAATCATTAAATTGTGGTCCTAGTTTTAGTGATTTTGTTGTCATCACAACTTCTACAACTAACCTCTTCTATCGTGGTCTTTTTCTTCTAGTCCCCATTATGTTTTCCTATATATCTAAATGAAAATCTCTCTCTTTTCATTTTTCTAATAAGCCCTAATCATTTCTTGGATACTTAAATCATAAAATTCTTCACTATCCATCATGTCCCATCTATTACAAGCAAATCATACTTCAAAACTATCTAAACCTAAACCATTTATCCTACAATTTTCCTCACCACCCAAAATAAAATTATCATCTAAAACCATTAATGACTAAAATTTTCATTTCTAACTATTTTTCTAACATCATGATGAAGAATTTTAGACTCGTAGTATAAGGAGAATGTAAGGAGCGGAATATGTGGCATGCAAGTTACATATTTATCTTAAGCTACGTGTCTATCTTAATACCTTAGGTTTAGATACGAGTATATGTTACGGTTTTAGTAGTTGTATTCACTTAAAACACTCATTAGGATAGGTTAGTCGCTATTTAAAGGAGTACTATAACTTTGTTTTGTAAGTTTGGAATAAGAATAAACATTGAGTGTTAACTTTTCGGTTGAATTTATAAACATAGGTCGATCTCGTTTTACAATGCTGAAATAGGGGTTGTTCTTTCTTGCCTTCTTGTTGTATCGGTTGGTATCGGAGCGAGGCTACTCACGTATTTTGATGGCAAGTGTCCCGATTACGATAGGCGGCGAGTCCTCGTGGCGAAGATCGGAGGGTTGAGATCCCGGACTTTGGGGTAGTGTTGATGGCTTTAAAGCAGTTGAATGGATTGTAGATTCCCGTATTTAGAAGGATGTTTTGAAGAAATTATGGATCGACTAGATGCTCTAGGCATAGATGCTAATAGGAACCAGATTGATGACGGACCACGCTCTAGAGAAGATGTCGCTCGTGGGAAAACCGTCAACGGACCCGCTCCCGATGTTCATGGATGTCGACAACAATTCTATGATAATGACTCGGATGAAGATGAATATTTTGAGGAACCTATGCTAAGGCGTGTTGATCGTGGGAGGCATAATTATAGAGATAGGGAAAACAATGGTTTCGGGTTGAAGGTGGATATCCCTTATTTTAATGGAAATCTCAATAAGTGAAGAATTCATGGATTGGGTTACCGATATAGAAAAGTTCTTTGAATATATGGAGATTCCTAAAGGAAAGAGGGTGAAGCTAGCTGTATGTAGGTTAAAAGAGGGAGCTTCTACTTGGTGGGAAAAGGTTGTAGGTCGGGAGGAGCCATGAGGGAAAGGCACCAATCGGGACTCGGTATCGAATGAAATAGCTCTTAATGAAGGGATTTCGCCCTTGATTATGAATAAATTTTTTTCCGTAGTACTAAAGATGCCATCGGGGCATGAAGACCGTGTATGAATACGAGTCCGACTTCATGAGGCTAGCCGAAACGAATGAATTGAGGGAGATCGAAGGGCAACAAGTTGCTAGGTACATGAAAGGCTTAAAACCGAGTCATCGTGGATAAAATAGGGGTCCAAGTAATGAGGACTTTATCCGAGGCTTGAAATATGGCTCTAAAGGCCAAACTAATATTGCAAGAAAAGGGAAGTTAGATTACTCTCGTAGAAGTTATAGTGGGGATAATTATAAAGCTTCTAGTGATAAGAACAAGGCTATACAGATTTCCCCAACACACCATGAAAGACGTATGGAAGAGAAAGCCACGGGATAACAAAAGGCCACATAAGTGAAAGAGGGTTAGAGGACCATAACCCTTATACTAAGCCAATCGTGGTAAGTGTTTTAAGTGCAATTGTGACGCCCCCACCCCCGTTCACTCTCTATTACCCAAATAGGAGTAACTAGGTGAGGTGCGACACACCGACATGACTAATTTTTGAATTAATCTTAAACACATACGTGCTCATATGCTAAGGACTTATCATACAATGAAACACGATCAAGATAATTTACATGATATTAATAAAACAGTGAAAAAAATTACAAATTTTAATTACAATACAATCAAAATATTTATTGACACCCCAACCCTAAAATTACAATAAACGAAATCCCTTAAAGTTTATGTCATCCCTAAGCCCTTTTGGAGGATCCAAAAGCATCCTTACTACTTTTAGTCGTTCCTATCATAACATGTAAATAACAACAAGGTGAGTCGAAGCTCGGTAAGTAGGGTGATGCACATGATCCGCAATGAAGTTTTGTTTCCCATTCTACCCATCCATTTTTAATTTGGGTACCCTAGGTATTAGCAAATCCGTGCATTTCATCTCTTGGTGATCACATTATCACCTACCGCTTACAATGGAATTACCCCTCGTTGTAGCAAATAATTAGCGAAATTATCCCTCGCTTAACAATATTAGTAATAGAGCACGCACATAGATTTATACTATTACCCATTCCATTGAAATCGGTTAGCAAACCGCACTATTTCATAACTCAATTATCTTTTTCAATTTCATATAACCCTCGAATGCACGTGATGCACATGGTATTATATTTAACACATTTAACTAATTATGCTTCACATTTTCTTCTCCGACCCTTCCTATGTCCGACGCACACTCGAGACTTCACAGGTGTTTCATATATCATCTAAAGTATTCAAAATGAGAATACAATTTCCATTCATGGGTAGCATTCATTGCGTAAATTTATTTCGTAATTATGAGTTTTTCCTTCTTGTGTACCTAGCAAGTCTACGCTCGGAATTTTTTTTTTTTTACTCTTACCCTCTCTACACTTCATTTTATTCCTATTTAGGTCTATTCATTATTTCTGATTTTAATCATTTTCTTACTTAGGCCAAAAGGATTATTTAGTGAAAACCCTAGGAATTCATTTTCCCTCCTTTCCAATTTAGGGTTTATTATAGGACAACCTCTAATCAAGTAGGTAATGTATCAACTTTTGAGAATAATTAAATCCTATTCATTTTTTATTAGACACTAGACACATTGATTCATACTATATCCGAAAATTAGGTTTAAATACCAAACACACACTTTATAACATAATTTTGATATTGAAGGATTAATCTCTCCAAGCAGTGGTTTATCCGGAACAATATGTACTAAAATGGGTATAACGTTTTCTACATAAATCTAATAATGAAAATCTTTTACAGGAAGTTAGCTAAGACATAGATAAATAAATTTTATATTTTAAGGTTTTCCCATAAAGCATTCTAAAATCCTTGAATAGACAATACAAAAATCGGACAAAAACTACTCCCGAATAACACCGATCTAGCCATTCATTCCAATTCACAATAACCATGTTTTAGTCCTATTAAATTTCAATCCAAGTCCAATCCAACTCTTCATCACATACTTGGACATACTTGGACATCCATCAAACATTATAATTACCATAAAAAATCACAAACACAACATCCACACATAGATCAAACCAATATATCACAAGTCCATAAACAAAAACCAAGCTTACAATACACCAACTATTACAACCAACACACATCTTAAACACCTTAAAAAGAGAACTAAAAGCATGAAAATAAACCTACTTACTTTTTTTGAATTTCTTAAAGGTTGGTTAAGCTTTTCCTTTTCTTTCTTTCCTTTCTTCTTTCTTTTCTTTTTCTCTTCCTCTCTTCCTTACGTTTGTTTCTCTCCTTATTTAGGTGGCTACGGGCTTCACTCCAAAAAAATGACTAAATTTCATCTTTCCTTATTAAGTATGCCACACATCTAAAATCAAATTGGCCAAGTATAAAGTAAAGGAAAGGTTTGGAAGGCAAGTCGGCATTTTTTTTGGAAGTCAAAGGTGATGAATTGGCTTCCAAGCATTTAATTCAAATGCTTAGGTGGCTAAAGAAAACTTAGGCTAAATAAACACATTAATGAGCTTGTTTCATGTAATTAGACATAATTTATTTCATAAAAACTCAGAAATTTTCCTTTTGAAAACTCATAAATTCGTTTCCCAAAAAAAAAAAAACAATTCTAGCAATGTTACCTCCTCAACAAGCTATACTAAAATGGAAATAACGTTTTCTATAAAGATCTAAAAATCATAAAATTTTATAGAGGACTAGTAGACACATATATTAACAACTTTTATTCTTTGCATTTTACCTATAAATCAATCTAAAGTCCTCTAATAAATTACATAAAATGCGGACAAAATATAGTCCTCAAATCATGGATTTTGCATATTTGATTTCTTTAAGACTCGAAACTATTAATCTTAAGCACAATAAATTTAATTTAACATAAATTACACATTTCAAGCATTAATTTCTCATAATTTAATGATAATTATACATATATCGCTTATATACATATATATAAATACTCGAATACATTTTGCTTTACCGTTAAGTATTTCCATAGGGGTTACAATTCTCCCCTCCCGATAAGGAATTTCATCCTCGAAATTGACTTAGACAAATAGTTCGGGTATTTGTCTCTCACTTCTTCCTCCCGTTCTCAAGTCATTTCCTCGAGGTCATGATTTTCCCACAAAACTTTAACTAACATGATTTCCTTATTTTTCAACCGTTTGACCTATCGATCGAGAATCTAGACCGATCTTTCTTTGTACGTTAAATCTAGAGTGAGGTTTGGTGGCTCTATCTCTAGCATTTAGCTTGGCTCTCCCACGTACTTTCTTAGCATCGAAACATGAAACAAATTATGTACTCCCGTTAAGGATGGTGGCGACAATAGGCGATGTGCCTTATCACCTACTCGGTCTAGTATCTCAAATGGTCCTATGTATCGCGGACTTAATTTCCTATTTTTTCCAAATTGTAGTACGCCTTTCATCGGTGAAACTTTTAAGAATACATAATCACCGACTATAAATTCCGGATCCTTTCTCCTCTTATTAGCGTAGCTTTTCCGTCTACTCGGGTCGTTTTCATCCGTTGACGGATCTTTTCCACCACGTCGATCGTTTGTCGCACCGGCTCCGGTCCCAATAATTTCATTTCTCCTATCTCATCCCAATACATGGGAGATCTACACCGCCATCCATATAGGGCTTCATAGGGAGCCATCCCAATTGAAGCTTGATAACTATTGTTATACACAAACTCGGCTAAGCGTATGTATTTCTCCTATTTTTTGGACCAATCCAAAACACATGCTCATAACATATCCTCGAGAATCCGGATCACTCTTTTTATTGTCCGTCGGTTTACGGATGATATGTGTTGCTGAAGTTTAGCTTTGTCCCCATAGCTTTGTGTAGACTCTTCCAAAATGTGAATGTGAACCTAAGATCTCGATCCGATACAATTGAGATCGGAATCCCATGTAGTCTTACAATTTCGTCAAGATACAATTGGGCATACGAGTTTAGCTTATAGGTGGTTTTGATTAGAAGAAAGTGTGTTGATTTGGTCGGTCGATCTACAATTACCCAAATAACATCCGACCCTCTTTTCGATCTTGGCTATCCCATTATGAAATCCATTGTTATCCATTCCCACTTCCATTCGGAATCGCCGGTGGCTTTAAGATTTTTCGAGGGTTTTTGGTGTTTCGCCTTCACTCGTTGATAGACTTGACACCTTGTCATAAAATTAGCTACATCTTTCTTCATTCCAGGCCACCAATAACTTTGTTGCAGAGTCCCGGTACATCTTTATGCTTCCCGAGTGTATCGAATAGGGAGTTGAGTATGCTTCTTTTAGTATCTCTTCCTTCACATCTTTCACCGAATGAACACATAACCTCTTTTTAAATCTAATTGTGCCTTTATCATACACCATAAAATTGGATTCTTTCTCCGTCTTTATGTTTTTCTTCACTTCATTCAATTTTTTATCCATTTGTTGTGCCATCCGAATTCTTTTCTCGCGAGTTGATCTGGACTAATAAAGTTCGCTAAAATGCTTTGGTGGCCTACCGGGATTATCTCCAGTTCTAGCTTTTGGAGATCTTTCACCATCGATGGCTGGATTACCTATATCATTGCTACCGATTTTCTACTTAAAGCATCGATAATAACGTTAGCTTTGCTCGGGTGATAATTGATTATACGATCATAATCCTTCACCGACTCTAACCACTTTCTTTGTCTCATATTTAGCTCCTTTTGTGTGAAGATATATCGTAAGCTTTTATGATCCATATATATCTCACACTTTTTCCCATACAAGTAATATCCCTAAATTTTTAAGGTAAAAACTACCGCTGCTAGTTTTAGATCATGCGTCGGATAATTTCGTTCGTATTCCTTCAATTGTTGCGATGCATAAGCAACTACCTTCTCATTCTCGCATTAACACTCGCTCCTAGCCCATTCTTGGAAGCGTCACTATAAACCATGAAATTTTCATCTTTGGACGGAATAGTTAGCACTAGTGGTTGTGACTAACCTTTGCTTCAATTCTTGGAAGCTTCGCTCACGGACATCCGTCCATTGGAACTTAACGCTCTTTTTCATCAAAATAGTAAGAGGCCTAGCTATCTTAGAGAAACCCTCTATAAATCTTTGATAGTAACTAGCTAGTCCCAAGAAGCTTCATACCTCCGTTACGTTCTTTAAGGTAGGTCGGTTCCGGATAGCCTCTACCTTTTTTGGATCTACCGATATGCCCTCATTTGTTACCACATGGCCTAAAAAAGCCATGTGCTCTAGCCAAAATTTACACTTCTTGAATTTGGCATACAACTCGTCGTTTCCTTAGCATCCGCAAGGTGGCTTTTAGATGTGTCCTATGCTCCTCCTTACTTC